CTAATGTGTCCATTCCTTTTACTCAAGGAAATCTTACGTATACTGTTTTTCTTATTCACATTGAAGCAGTATATTTGCTTTATGCACCTACTTGGTTCATATCTTTGCCTATCTCAGGTTACCAAATAACTTTGACGATGAATAGTTTATTACGATGATGTAAAGTTCCCATTCCCACCACAGGACGTTGCGGGAATGCACGCGAGTAAAGAGGAGGTGATGGAGTTCGTTCATTACTTGCGCGACCCAGCCAAGTACAAGGCATTGGGTGCAAAGCTGCCGAAGGGAGCACTTCTGTTGGGGCCTCCTGGAACAGGCAAAACCCTACTTGTAAGTGGTATTTATAACGTTAGTAAATGGGCTACTGAAATGTTGTAAGTAAGAAGTTCGAATGCAATTAAACCTACCACTTTTGTGCTGTTGTTCAGGTAAAGGCGCTTGCCCACGAGGCCGACGTGCCGTTCTTTTCGATGGCTGGATCTGAGTTCATCGAGGTGATTGGTGGTCTGGGTGCCTCGCGAATTAGAAAACTTTTTAAGGCTGCCAGACAACAGTCTCCCTCCATTATATTCATCGACGAAATAGATTCGGTCGGTCGCCGACGCTCGGCAGATGGGTATGTTTTACATTAATCGTTTTCTACTCCAAACTGCAGCGTTAATTGAATAAACCGAAACTATCAGAAAATCTGAAAGCCTGATATAGTAGCATGCGGTTCAAAAGCTTTGCTAATAATTCACTCAGTGTTCATTGAATGAGGTGCAACTCTCAGAAGATTTAGAAGTCTGATATAGTAGCAGGCCTAACCTAAGTACGGTTAACAAAATAAGATAATTTCATTACTAGTCGCAAGCCAGCTGGCTTTTTTCAAATCATGACATTCTTTCCTTTCCGTTTACTATGTGTTTCAAGTATAAAAGGAGTTGGCAAAAGTAGGTTATGTTACGCATGCAAGATACCGCTAACCCCAGAAATATGCCATACTGGACCGGTGATAATAAGGGTTTTTACGGGTGGAACATAATAGGCGGCAGTGCGGCATGTGTAAAAAGTGTACCATAGAAAAGCAGATAGCAGTAGGTAAAACATAGCATAGGATGCTAATATATA